TTTTGGAGGGATGAGTGGGGCCCAAAATGGCAGGAGCTTCTTCTCATCCTCCAGGTGGAAGGAGAGGCCAGGAGGCCAAATGGGGTGGGGGTGGGGCTCTTGGGGGGGGCACAGGATCACTTCCAGGATCCTCCCAATCTTGAGGGGAAAAAGGACAGAAAAGAAAGAAAGAAACCCCCATTTGGGGCCCTTCCTGAGTCGCTCAGAGCACTGATGGCTTCCCATCCTTGGTCCCTCAGGCTGAACTCCTGCACTGCCCTCTTGGTGGGGCTGCCCTGGAGGGGGGAGGTCTTCTTCAGCAGCCCCCCCCTTCTGCCATCTTTGGGGCACAAGATTCGCCTTCAAGGAACCTGATTTAGGGGAGAGATTGCAAGCAAATATCTGTGTCACCAGAGGCTGCTTTGGGCTGAGGTAAACCTTCTCCACAAACATCAGCCATTTTCCCTCCTTTCATCCCAAGGAGGTGCAGCCCCCCTTCTTCTGCCCTTTCCTTGCCCCCCCCAGGTAGACACCCCAGAGATCTGCCTGTTCTGCCCCTGATCCCCGAGGATCCCCCCAGATCCTTCCAGGCCCCCTGCTGGCCTCTCAGGGGAGCAGAGTTGAACCCAGAGGGCTCCCCCTGGTGGAGAAAGGAGGAAGGAGACCGGCCAGAGTGGAGGGGAGCCTCCTTTCCAGGCTAAACAGCCCCAAATGTCCCAACCTTTCCTCCAAGGGAGGCTGCTTCAACCCTCCCATCCTCTGGGTCGCCCCCTCTGGACCTTCCCCAGCTCCCTCCTGCCCCTTTTTTGAGATCTGGTGACCAGAACTGCACACGATATTCCAGATGTGGTGGCACTCTTGATTTACACAAAGGCTTTGTGACATTAGCCTCTGTGTTTTCAGTACCATTTTAATGATCTCTGATATCCTATTTGCCTTTTGAATTTTTTTTATATACGTTGTATTGAACCTTTTCAACAAAAGATAAAAACTAATAGAAAGTAACATAAAGTAAAGAGATAAAAGAAAGAAATCAAAGAAAAATCAAAAACTACCAGAAAAGAAAAGAAGTTGAAGAAAATAAAGAAAAAAGACATAAAGAACTGACTTCTGATATTCTTCACAGCAGTTACAAATATAAATATATATTTAGCCTCCCCAAAGCAGCCTTTCTTAACCTTTTGACCCTGGAGGAACCCTTGAACTATTTTTCCGGCCTCGGGGAACCCCTGAACATCCAGCCTCAGAGATGGGGCAGAATTGTTTCCTGCGTAGACCTGTAGAGATGCATTAACAGCGTTCTTACACTAATAATAAAAACTTGCCTTTTCACTGTGATCCCTGTGCTTTTTTCCCCAGCACAAATATTAAATTCTCTACCAAACTTGCAATGAACACAAACAGATTTCATCTTCAACTGAAATAAGACGGTTTCTGTCTTAGCTTTTGATGCTTCTGAAGTAAGACAGAGCTGGTTCTCAGAAGTTGAAAACTGCAGCCAGATTTTCAGTGCCTTCCTGTGAATGGCAGGAGATTCTTCTTGGGCAGAAATCCAGAACCTTTTTTCCCCCCTGAGCAGATCAGGGAATCTCCTCTGGAGGGCAGGATCAGACTCAGCTCAGGAGGATCTTCTCTCCCTCCAAAGGGAAGGTCTCAGGCTGAGCAGAAGCTGCAGGGAAAGGATCCCCTCACTTGGTCACTCATGGGAGTGGAAAGGGAGGGAAAGGACTGGTCAGTTTAGTTCAACTGTACTTACAAGTGGTTTTCCCTCAGATTTGAGAGTTTCTGGCATCCTTCCTCACTTTCAAGCCCAACCAGAAGTAGAAACATTTCAACATTTCCTTTTGGTTTTTTCAAATATTCAGTTTCCTTTTAAATCCCAGAATCTGGTCACTTAAAGTCAAAATATTTTCTCCAGGACCTTGCAAAGAGTGTAAACTTTAAACTTTGTTTCAAAGGTCAATAACCCTTTGAGGGTGCAGATCAAATTTGGCCACTTGCTGCTGTTGCTAAGGAAAATATTCCTTTGTGGCCCTTCAAGGCTTCATTCCCACATTGCACAAAGCCCTGGTTTGTTTCTGGTTAGCCCAAAAAGGGAGCCAGCCTTGTGACTTGGTGATATTTGTGAACATGGATCAAGATTTATGGTCACAGGGATTTTTGTAAGCTTCTTTGCAGATCGACCAGATTCTCTCTGAGGCCATGAGATTCTCAGTCCCTCTTTGGAGCTGCAGGAATCTGTTCCCTCTCTGGGATCCACTCCTTTCTCCCCAAGAGTCTACCCAACAGAGGAACAGCAGAAGGAAAGAAGGGAGAGGCTCTGTCCCTCCGTTTATTCTGTGACTCCTTCTTTTCTCGGTCTCCCTCGGGATCCTCCGCTGGCTTTTCCAGCTTCCCTTTTCCTGGGGGGGTTCAGGGTCTCCATCTTGGGGGGGGCAATGGAGGGAGGCAGGTCGAGGGAGGGGAGAAGGGCAGGTAGTGATTGGGGCTTTCTTTCCCTTGATTGCTAGGGAGGAAATGGGGGTGTCAGTGTCTGTGTCAAAGTCCTTGGAGGGGAGGGGGTCTGTGTCTATTTTGAGGACTCCCCAAACCATCATCTTCTTCCTATTTCAGGCCTTCACATAATACAAATAATGTATGGCTGTGCGCTCCAGGCTGATGGGAGCAAAGGAGGGTTTATACAGCATGGCTACGATGGGGGGACCTTTCTCACCTTCGACAAAGACACCCTCACCTGGGTGGCTCCCCAACCCCAGGCCCAGATCACCCAGAGGAAATGGGACTCTATTCCAGGATTGAATCAGAGAACGAAGTTCTACCTGGAGGAAATCTGCATTGAGTGGCTGCAGAAGTACCTGTCCTACGGGAAGGAGACGCTGCTGAGGACAGGTGAGCCTCTGGATCCAGGCTGGACTTTCCTCCTTTATGGCTGGATTTCTTGTGCACATTCGGCCCCTTTGGGTTCCTGGTCTGCAGTCTGACTGCCCAGGAGGGAATCCTCCCCCTCCCCTTCCAGCCCCTCTCCAAGACAAGGGAAGCCCTCTTTGGTTCCCCTTGCCAGGCCGCCATTCCATGGACCAGGAAACGCAGCCTCTGCCTGGCGGGTGTCTGGGTGGATCAGGCGGGAAAAGCACTTGGGGGTGTCCTGTTCACAGCCCACAGTGAGGCAACAGGAGCACTTGGGGTTCTTCAGTGAGACCCCCATTAGCCAAACTGTAGTCAAGTGTGAGGGGCTCCCTTAATTTCCCCCCATTACAGTAGTGGCCAAAATTGTGGAAACCTTTTGGGAAAAGTCTATTTTTGAGGTTTGATGGCTAATAAGACCACTTTTGGGGGGGAGTAGTACCATAAAAGTATATATCAATGGAAAGATAATTTAATCAAGAATGTAATGCAACAAGGTTTGCTCAATTATCTGTACTGTGTTCTATGAAAAGTTATAGCCAAATAACCAGAAAAAGGAAGCACAACTTGCTTAGGTTGATATCAGGTAGCTTCCCCCCCCCCTCTCTATCTATCTCTCTACCTCTATCTCTATCTATCTCTCTATCTCTCTATCTCTCTCCAATTTCCCTCCCCTGAAGGAAACAATCCAAGATCACTCAGAGTTCAAAGCAGCCAGAGAGGAATTTCCTTGGACCCTCAATTTGTTCCTTGAGGTTTTTCACGCTGAGTCCCTGGGAAAGACTCAAAATCAGGAGTTCTTGTGGTTGAGCATTTTCCAGATTTGGAGCATTTCCTAAAACTCTTGGGAGACGCTGCAGGTGTGGAGTGGGAAGTAGTGGGAGATTTTCCTGCCCCTCCATGTTTCCCACCCACCTTCCAGGCTCTGGAGGGGCTCAGAGTTAATTCTGGCAGTGCCGTTTCTGTAGAGCCCCCAGAGGTGACAGTGAGCAAGAAGACGGAGGTGGAGGATGGGATGGAGACGCACGTCTGCCGCCTGGATGGCTTCTACCCCAGGGAGATCAATGCCTCCTGGACGAGGAACGGGGAGGTCTGGCTGCAGGACACCTTCCGTGGCTCCGTGGCCCCCAACGCGGATGGGACCTTCCACGCCTGGCTCAGCATCCCGATCGATCCCCTAGAGAGGGGCCGCTATCGGTGCCACGTGGAGCATGACGGCCTGCAGGAGCCTCTGGACGTGGCCATAAAAGGTGAGAAGCTGATCCCTGATCTAGATCAAACTGGCTTGTACAGCTTGCAATAGTTTTGTAACAGAGCTTGTAGCAGCTACGTTGTTATTTCTGAGGACCTTTAGTAGGCTTATGCTGATTAACAGGTTTTAGAGATGGGTTCATGGAGAATGGGGGGAGAAATAGAGTGAAGAGTTGCTGGCTTTACTTTAAGGGAGAGTGATAAATTGTTAATCTTCATCATACTTGCTTGGATTGAAAGCGGGGGTTTTCTGTCTATTTTTCTTTGTATAAGTTTTACAATAGACAGTATGTATAATGTGTAATAGAATCTTCAACCTTTTTTTAAAGTGTGCACTCTGAGATTTCTGCCATTAATACACTTTAATTAAAAACAATTAAAAATTGCAGTTATTGCATTTTTAAAAAAATGCACTTATATTTCATCCTCCAGAGTTTGACAAATAATCGATATGCTGAGCGCAGCATTCAAACACTGCATTTTTCCAGATTGCCATTTATGGGTTTTCACGGTTTAGAAAAAACGGAACATGGGATCCATTGCACAGCCGGGCTCCTTTCCCCCTCACCATTGCACACATACTGTGAGAATTCCAACATTGTTTGCTGAAAATAAAGGGTTTTGTTTTCTTCTCACTTCAGTCGCTGCCTGTTATTGGAAGTTGGAAATAGCAAGGATTTTACGCTCCTTGTTGATCAGAAACCCCGATTTCACTTTGAGAGGAAGGAAGGGGAGGAACCAAAGCAAAATCTGGAAGGAGCAAGAACTGGGGGGGGGGGCTCCTGTGTGTTCATTTTGGGAAGAGGCAGCCATTTTGCTCCTGGGTCCAGATCTTTCTCCAGCATCTCCAGCTGATCTTCCGCAAAATGGCCGCTGGTCTTGGCTTGGTGGGGGCAGCAACAGAGGCGGCTTTTCCCTCAGATCCACCTTTGCCTCAGGCTGAGGGCTGAGTGGCTGGTCTCTGGGCCTCATCCAGGGGCCTTTTGGGAGACAGGAGCTCAGGGACCGGCCGGAGCCCTCCTGGTCCCCTTGCAGGAGGGCAGCTTCTCCTGCCTCTGAGAGGTCCTCTCTGGGCTCTTCAGGGGCCCAGTAGGATGCCCTGGTCCAAGAGAGCCTCAATTGATGGGAAAGAGGTCCCCCATATTATAGGGGATGCTTTCTGGGCAAGGAGGAGTGAAAAGGGTGGGGGTCTTTCACCCCAATTGCTTTTAGGCTTCCCTGATGCCCTCAAGAGCTGCCATCTTTGAGAGCCTAAAAAGTCTACAGTTTAAAGCAGGCGTGTCCCACTTTCAACGCGAGAGTCACATGCAGCCTTGGACAATGCAACCCCACAAAATTTTTAATACAATAAGCAATATCAAAATAAAAGAAGTGTATATTAACTCTATAGCAGTGGTGGTGAACCTATGGCACGGGTGCCAGAGGCGGCACTCAGAGCCCTCTCTGTGGGCACACGCACCGTCGCCCCAGTCCTAGGCCTTCAGCTGGGTTTTATAAAACCTTTTCCCTTTAGGCCTCCGCCGCCATGTACAAAAAAAAAAGTTCAATCAATCAGCCAATTTCAACTTCTCGTGGAAAAAAAAAGATCTTGCAAAGTTGGAATTGATTGATTGAACTTTTTAGTCCCACCCAGTCTGCCGTTACCACCGCAGCCATGCCCACCCAATGGGCCACACCCATCCAATGGGCCACACCCACTCGGCACCTGACGATGCATAAGTGGGTTTTGGGTTGCAGTTTGGGCACTCGGTCTCTAAAAGGTTCGCCATCACTCCTCTATAGTATATAATTTATATGCAGCCGAAGAATTCCTTTTTATTCAGTGCGGTCCAGGGAAGCCGAAAGGTTGGAGACGGCTGCTTTAAAGCATTTTGTGAGAATTCCGTCAGTATTTGAGCGTCTTCTACCGATTCAGAAGTTTTACAAATGTGCTTATTTATTAGAGACCTCTGACTGGCCAGCTTCGTCTTGAAAATGCCACAAGAGCCTTTGAGCCCTTTAATCCAGAGCAAAAACCACTCTGAGTTTCTGACCTGCAACATAGAATCTATCTCTCTCTCTCTCTCTTTCCCTTCCCTTCATCTTTCTCCCCCAACCTCTTTGCTCCTTGGTCTCTCCGTAGCTCCCTCTTTTCACCCTCTGCTTTTTTTCTCTCTCTCTTCCATCATCTCCCCCTTCATTTCCCCCTTCCTCCTCTGCCCCCCAGGTCTCTTCTTCTGACTTCCTTCCAGACATCAAAAGGGACTGTGCCCCATAGCATCAGGGTCCCCCAGCAGAAGCCCCCTAACTCAGCCCTTCTGGTTCCCTTGCAGGCGCCTCATCGCACTCCCTGAAGTATTTCTCCTTCTCCATGTCGGACCCCAGTCAGGGGCAGCCCCATTTTGTCTCTCTGGGGTTTGTGGACGGTCAGGTCTTTGTTCACTACGACAGCAACAGCCGGAAGCTGCAGTCTCGAGTCCCCTGGATGGAGAAGGTGGGGAAGGACGACCCCCAGTACTGGGACAGAGAGACTCAGAAAAAATGGCACCAAGAGGAGAAGTTCAGTGAAAGCCTGGAGGCTCTGAGGCTTCGCTACAATCAGAGCGAAGGTGAGTGATGGGTCGGGTGGTTCCTCCTGCCCCATAATCCCCTCCCCAGGAACCAGAGGGGGGAGAAAGGGGGGCCCTTCAAAGGGAAAGGCTATTTCCACACATTTAAAAAAATATTTTAATGTGATTATTCTTTTTTTAATATTAATATAGGCTTGTCCTTGCCTCCATAGCTGACGTTTTCTGCCAATTGCAGTTAATAAAAGCATATTTAAAGTTTTCCATCTATCTGTCTGAATATTGATAGAATACGGATATGGATATAAACTGAGGTAAAATGAGACCGAAATCTCCCCTCCCCCCCATGAAAGTTGGAGGGTCCTACCCTTGGTGGATCCTCTGCTGTGGGGGAGGGAGGGGATCCCAGGCCTCCCCCCCCCTGAAAAAAACCAGGTAGATCCTAAGGAGATCCTGGGGGAAGCAGCTCCTGGTTCTTCTGTCTGTTTCCACCCCAGAGAAATGAGGGATCAAGTGCAGATCCACCTGGGGTGACTAGATCCTTTTCCTTCACCCCCTTTTTGGAGGGACAAGGGGGGCCCAAGCATCAGGGGCTTCTTCTCATCCTCCAGTTGGAAGGAAAGGCCGGGGGGGCACAGGACCACTTCCAGGATGGTTCCAATCTTGAGGAAAAGGACACACAAAACTCTCATTTGGGGTCCTTCCAGAGTCCTGTTGGCCTTTAAATTTTTTAATATACCGGTAATTTTTATTAAAACAGGAAGATAAAAACAAATAGAAAAGTAATAGAAAGCAAAGGAGACAAAAGGTAGAAATCAAAGAAAATTTTGAAAAATGAAAGAAAAGAAGTTGAAGAAAATGAGTAAAGAAAAAAGACACAAAGAAGTGGCTTCTGATATTCTTTACAGCAGTTACAAATATAAATTTATTTTAGCCTCTCTAAAGCAGCTTTTCTTAACCCATTGACTCTGGAGGAACGCTTGAACTATTTTTCAGGCCTCGGGGAACCCCTGAACATCCAGGCTCAGAGATGGGGCAGAATTGTTTCAAGCTTAGACCTGTAGAGATGCATTAACAATAATAACTAATAATAAAACATGAAAGTTGTTTTTTCAATGTGATCTCTGCACAAATATTCAGTTCTGGGCCAAACGTACGATAAGAACACACAGATTTCATCTTCAGTACAAATAAGACAATTTCTGTCTTAGCTCTTGATGCTTCTGAAGTAAGACAGAGCTGGTTCTCAGAAGTTGAAAACTGCAGCCAGATTTTCAGTGCCTCACAGTCCCTCAGGATCCTCCACTGGCTTTTCTAGCTTCCCTTTTCCTGGGGAGGTTCAGGGGCTCCATCCTGGGGGGGGGGGAGGAATGCAGGAAGGAGGCAGGTCGAGGGAGGGGAGAAGGGCAGGTAATGATGGGGGGCTTTCTTTCCCTTGAACGCTAGGGAGGAAATGGGGGTATCAGTGCCTGTGTCAAGGTCTCTGCAGGGAAGGGGGTCTGTGTCTATCTTGAAGACTTCCCGAACCATCATCTTCTTCCTATTTCAGGCCTTCACACATTGCAATGGATGTATGGCTGTGAGCTCCGGGGAGACGGGAGCAAAGGAGGGTTTATGCAGTATGGATACGATGGGAGGACCTTCATCACCTTCGACAAGGAGAGACTCACCTGGGTGGCTCCCCATCCCCAGGCCCAGATCAGCCAGAGGAAATGGGACGCTATTCCGGGATACAATCAAAAGTATAAGTCCTATCTGGAGAAGGAATGCATTGAGTGGCTGGTGAGGTATCTGTCGTACGGGAAGGAGACACTGCTGAGGATAGGTGAGCAACTAGATCCAGACTTTCCTTCTTTATGGGCAGATTTCTTGGGCACATTCATCCCCTTGTCTAGAGCCTGTTTGCCCTGGAGGGAATCCTCCTCCTTCCCTTTCAGCATCTCTCCAGGAAATGGAAACCCTGCCAGGCCGCCATTTAATGGACCAGGAAACGCAGCCTCTGCCTGCCGGGTGTCTGGGTGGATCAGGCAGGAAAAGCACTTGGGGGTGCCCTGTTCACAGCCCACAATGAGGCAACAAGGGCATTAGGGGTTCTTCAGTGAAACCCCCATTAGTCAAACTGTAGTCAAGTGTGAGGGGCTCCCTTAATTTCCCCTCATTAACTCTCCTTCCTCCCCACATCCCACAGGGGGCTCCTTCCCTGCCTTGCACCTGATGATGCACCTCTAACACTCTCCACTAGGGGGCTCTACCATTAATAGGACATTATCAGTGCCTCTACATGGGCAAAAAAGGCTAAGGTTGAGGGGAAGAAAACCCCCAAAGTTTCTGTGGATCTTTCTCTTCAACCCCAAACAGGCTCCCTCCATTCTGACAGTGACTTCTTTCCTCAAAACAACCCCCTCCCCATCTTCAGCAACACCCCTCACCTCACAAGGGGTTCTCACATTATAATATTTTCCTGTGATTTGTTAATATTTAATATTTTCTCATAGATCCTCCCCCTTCCCTTATGAGTTCCTTGATTCCTCCTATATATATATATGTTTTCTGAGGTTTTCGCGGGTGTTTGTATGTAGGTCTTTGGTTATTCGGGTTTTTTCCCACGTAAAATTGGAAGTGTCTTGGCAACGTTTCGACGAAGTCACATTCGTCATCTTCAGGCTGGTGTCTTCAGCTTCGTGCTTCTAGGAGTAGTGTGTGATCGCAGCTGTTTCTTCCTTTTAACTGCCAGTGGGGTTTGAGCTGATTGGGTGGGAGCTTGGCTGTGTTCTGATTGGGAGGAGGTGTGTGCCCCACCACATACATCGGACAAACCAACAGAAGAATAAATGCACGCATTGAAGAACACAAGAACTCAGTCAGAAAAGAGGAACCAACTTCTTCCCTGGTCCAACACCTTAAAGCCACAGGACATAAAATTGACTTTAAAAAGACCAAAACTATTGCCAAAACTGAACACTTTAACAACAGAATAATCAGAGAAGCCATCGAGATAGAAAAACGCCCACACAGCATGAATAAACGAGATGATACCTCCCGCCTACCAGCCATTTGGAAACCCGCCCTTATTGGCAAACGAGTCCCTAACACAAAGAATGACACCAGACCCACACTCACGAAAACCACACAGGATGTCNCCTTAACCAATCAGAACACACCTCCACCCAATCAGAACACAGCCAAGCTCCCACCCAATCAGCTCAAACCCCACTGGCAGTTAAAAGGAAGAAACAGCTGCGATCACACACTACTCCTAGAAGCACGAAGCTGAAGACACCAGCCTGAAGATGACGAATGTGACTTCGTCGAAACGTCGCCAAGACACTTCCAATTTTACGCGGGAAAAAACCCGAATAACCAAAGACCTACATACATATATATATATATATATATATATATATATATATATATATATATATATATATATATATATATATATATCCGAAATTACTTTAAAAATGTGATCCCCGGTTATATCCATGTTCAAAGTCAGTCAATAGACGTGAGCACCAGGGAATAAATAATTTAATAATAATAATTTAAAGATAAAAGTTCTTAAGAATATTAAAAACCTTTAAAATACATAAAAATCAATAAAAGTGCCTAGCTTTCGTCGGCATCCGCTGACATCTTCAGGGCTTAGAATGCTGGTCAATGGGAAAGTCCCTTTATAGGTTTAATTAGGGCGTGTGCACGACTCTTCGATCTCGTCACTGGGCCGGTTATACTAGAATGTACTCCAGGCACCGAGTTCTTATTGGGAGTTGTCCTTCCCACATGATCTGTATCAGTGTAAGTAATAGCAGGGGATGTCCTTTCTTGGAGGTTTAGCGTGGGTAAAGCCTCTACTCCCCTTCTTTTTTGTGTAATCATGTCTTCCAATTTCCTCTCTTGTCTATTAGCCTTGTTTTCTTTTCTGCTCCCTCTAGGCTGTTCTAATACACAGTGCTGTTGTCCCCCCTCCCCTTCGCACCTCTCCTCTCTATGTTTATTGCCGTTTGTTAAGGTATTTAACCTAATCACCGTTGCACTCCCCTTTCTTTGGTTTGATGTCCGTATGTCAATCTCTTGGGGATTATCTTCTACTGGTGTGGGTATTTCCCTATTTCTTGCCCATGACCGAGTGATCGTAGCTCCAATCCGCTTTCTCCCATCCTCTTTGTTGTTAGAAGTGAGGGAAGGAGAATCAATCCTCCCCCTCCTTCCATTCACCTCCCGACCAATTCTAACCAAGCTGTTAATACAGTAATCGGGGGTTATGATTTTCTCCCTTCTTGTTTCGCTGTGGGTATCTTCAATTCTCCTATTGGCTGGCCTCCGGCTTTTTTGCTGTTTCTGGGGGTGTGTGTCAGTTTCCTCAGCACAAGCCGTTTCTTCCACCTCATCCGCAATTCTTTCTGATCTTGGTCTTTGAGGTCGTTTATCCATCCCGGGGAGTAGGGAGTCTCTTACACAGGGCTCCTGCTTCCCTTGAACGTCCGTTACCTGCAGATGGTGGTGAGGGGGCAAGACTCTTTTGATGGTTTTCTCCAATGGTGCGTTCAGTAGCTTCGTGAGTTGTTTGCGATGGGGTGGGGGGGTTTCTGTACACCAGGTTCTTAAAGTCAGGTGTGCCGGGCAGAGATCAATATGCCGGTTAATAGACTCTTCATTGGACAGCCATGCCTCCTTAAGGAGGCGTCCACTCTTTGTATTGTCGCTGGCTAGGACTTGTGCTTCCTCGAAGTTGAAACGGTGTCCAGTTTCTGCCATATGTGTCCACAGTTGGGAGTACTGCTCNCTTAAAATATGAGACCTAAAAACATGATCAACTTTCTTATCAAAAAATAAATAAGCATGCCATCCATAAAATAAATCCCAACCTTCAAGAATCAATATATCTCTATTAGTTAAGTTAATCCAATCACTAATCCAAGTTAAAACCACCGCATCATAATATAATTTTAAATTTGGGGCTTTAAGTCCCCCTCTTTCCCGTGCATCTTGCAAAATTTTAAATTTAACCCTCGGTTTTTTCCCCTGCTAAATAAACCTATTGACACCTCTTTGCCACTCTTCCAAATTTAAATCCTTCTTTAAAATAGGTATCATCTGAAACAAGAAAAGAAACCTAGGAAGAACATTCATTTTAACCACCTAGATTCTCCCCAATAATGATAGCTGTAACTTTTTCCACTCATTTAAATCCTTTTGAACTTTTAACCATAACTTATCATAATTATTTTTATACAATTTAACATTAGAGGCAGTAATATAAACATCCAAGTATTTCACCTTTTTCACTATTTCAAAACCAGTTAGGTTACTTAAAGTCTCTTTATCTTTCAAAAGCATATTTTTAGATAATATTTTAGTCTTATTATTATTTACTTTAAATCCCAAAACTTTCCCATACTGTGTCAAAATCTGTATCAAATTTCTTGCTGAATCGATCGGTTGCGTTAAGGTAAAAACCAAATCATCAGCAAAAGCTCTAAGCTTATAGTCATTCTTGCCCAAAGTTATTCCTTTTATGATCGATGATTCACGAACCTGAATTAGTAAAATCTCCAAAGTCAATATAAACAATAAAGGTGATAATGGGCATCCTTGCCTCGTACCTTTCTCAATTTTGATTAAGTCTGTCAGTCCTCCGTTTACTACCACTTGCGCTGATTGTTGTTGGTAAATAGCCTTTAACGCTGATAGAAATCTGTCCCCAAAATTCATTCTATCCACCATTCGTAATAAGAATTGCCAGTCCAGCTTGTCAAAGGCCTTTTCAGCATCCAGGAAAATAAGAGCCGCCGGAATTTGATTATTTTTGTCTAGATATTCCAACAAATTTACAATTTGTCTGACATTATTCTTCATATATCTACCATTTATAAATCCAGATTGATCCACATGAATAATCCGTTTCAATACTTGCATTAGTCTATTAGCTAGGATTTTTGCAAAAATCTTATAATCCGTATTCAATAAAGATATTGGCCTATAATTTTTAGGCTGAGTCAAATCCTGATCCTCCTTTGGTATAAGTGAAATAAATGCACACCTCCAAGATGGTGGTACTTCTTCTCCTAACAAAATGCTGTTAAAAAGACATCTCAAGGGTTCTAACATTTCTTCAGACAACATTTTATAATAAATTGCCGTTAGCCCATCTGTACCAGGGGCCTTACCAACCTTCAATTGTTTAATTGCCTCTATAATCTCATCCAGCACAATCGGAGAATTCATCATTCCTTTTTGATCATCTGAAAGTCTAGGAAAATTTACTTGTTGGAGATAACTATCTATTTCAGAAATTTGTATATTCTCAGAGGCATATAATTTTGAAAAATATTCCGAAAAAGCCTTTTTAATCAAATCTTGCTGGAAAACCTCTTTATCTTTGTAATTTATTTTCTCAATAACTCTTTGTTTTTGTTTCTTTCGTAATTGATAAGCTAACCACCTTCCAGGTTTGTCTGCGTTACAGAATGTATTATGTTTCATATATGTCAGGTTAACTGCCATTTGATCAGCCAATAACATATTAAATTGTTCTTTCAGCATTGCAATAGATACCTTTAAATTATTATCCATTGGGTTTAAAGAGAAAGCTTTTTCTTTTATTTTTATCTCTTGTTCCAAATCCCTATGCCTTTGTAACTGCTTTCGCCTCTGAGCAGTATTCATTGAAATTAAAGCACCTCTCATGAATGCTTTGCTTGCATCCCATACCATTGACATAGAAGTGCCTTTATTCATATTCAACATAAAAAAGTCTTTTAAGTGATCTTTAAGTTTCTGTACATTAGTTTCATATTTTAATAAATTCTCATTTAATCTCCAAGTCCTTTTACTTCCACCATCCATTGAAAATTCCATCCATACAGGACTATGATCTGATAAGGTCCTAGGAAAAATCTTCACTTTTTTAACCTTAGGAATTAAGTCACTGGTAATCAGAATAAAATCAATTCTAGAATGAGATTGATGTCTGTCTGAAAAAAAAGTAAAATCACTTTCTCCTATATTCCAATCTCGCCATATATCTTTTAACTCCAAATCCTCTTGCAATGCAAAAAAACTTTTAGGCAATTTAATTTGAGTTGAAGCTTTAGAAAAAGTCTTTTTATCTTTTTTAGGGTCTATTACACCATTCCAATCTCCCATCATAATAACAGATTTATAATCCAATTGAGTTATCTTTTGATGTAGAAGACTGTAAAATTGTTTCTGCTGCTGATATTGGTTAGGTGCATATAAACCAACAATAAGGCATTTTTTCCCATTCAATAAAAGTTCAATAAACACAAATCTTCCTTCTGTATCAGAGTCTATTAACTTTGGCAATAATTCTTTCTTAACATAAAGAACTATACCTGCTTTTTTCTTTGGTGCAGGGGCAATAAAATGTAGACCCAATTTAGAGTTGATCAAATACTTTTGATCTTTTGATGTAATATGCATTTCTTGCAGACATATAATATCATTTTTATATTGTTTCAAATAATGAAATATTTTCTTCCTTTTTTGTGGTGAATTCAATCCATTAACATTTAAAGTCATTAACTTAGCCATCTTTTGGCTTTTGGAGCTTCTGGAGCATTCCTTGCAGGTCTGCCATGACAGATCTTTTGGATCTAGCCCCTCCCACTGGCTCTGAAGTAAACGAATATGTTTGAGGCATAGATTCTTTTTGTTGTTCTCTTTCCCTTCATTTATAAGCTGCACATGTCATTCTCTGCTCTTTTGAATTATCTTTTACCTCCATCATTTGTTGACTCTGAAAATCTCCTGCAGGTAACGATGTAGCTCTAGCCAATTCTACAATCAGTTGTTCCACTACTTCTTCCATTCCTTTAGTTGGTGATGTAGGAGGTGAATCAGCTTTCAGAACCGTTAGATAAAAATCTTTAGCCTTCTGAACTGTATCAAGTTTGTAACGATTCCCAGCATAATTCAGAGCTATTCCAACAGGTATCTCCCATCTAAAAGGCAATTGTCGCTTCTTTAACTCCTGGGCCAGAAAGGCAAATTCCTTTCTTTTTTTAAAGATTTTTGAAGGTATTTCTTTCAATAGTATAACATCTTGAGCAGCAATCTGAAATCTCTGCTGATAAAAAGCTTGTATAATATCATTTCCGCGTGTTTTTCTGGAGAAGTAGACAACAACATCTCTAGGCAATTTTCTCTGACGTGCTACCCATGAGTTTACTCTATATGCTTTTTCAATTTCTCCATATATAATTTCAGGATCGCAGTCAAAAACCAAAGCTAAGGCAGCTGCTATCTCCTCCCTCAGTTTTTCTTGTAAATTCTCTTTAAGGCCTCTAATCCTTATGGCATGCTCCATTTCTCTGTATTGTGACATTACAATATCATTTTGAACAATCTCCACACCTTCTTCAACTTTTTCTAATCTCTCCTCCATTCCCTCCATTTTCTCCACCACTTCATCCATATGTTCCTCTATGCAATCCACATGAAATGCAAAACCTTGAAAAATTTGGGACATATTTTCACACAATTCATCATTTTTCTTACCAAGAAGTTCTTCTGTTTACACCCTCATTTTGTTGTACTATTTGTTTAGAAATTTGTACCAGAGAGTCCTGTAAATCTTTAAGAGTAATGTAGGGAGGAGGCGAGGGTGGGGTTTTTTTAGCTTTCTGCTGTGTAGATTGTACAGCTGGAGAAGAAGTAGCTGCTTTAGGTACTGCAGAAGTTCCAGTACGTTTAAAAGCCATTTTAAATTTAAAAGGGTCTTAATAGTCAATCCAGAACAGCAAGTATTTAAACAAATTTTTCTTGATTTTTTTTAAAAAAATCTTTACAGTCTTTACAATGTAGCAATCCACAACCGGAAGAGAAGTGAAAGTTTCCCTTTGAAACAAAGAAGCGGCTCGCCCGCAGCCATTTTTCCCCCCCAAAGTTAACTTTCAATTATAACAATTGAGAAGAAGCCTTTGTTCTTTCTGAGTTAAAGTTATATTTTTTTTCCAAACAAGTCCAAGTTCCTGGTCAGCTCTGTCTGATGTTTTACTCACATTAAAATTTTTTCAAAGTTTCAGAGGTGGAGACGACGTCTGGCTTTGCTGCAAAGACGAAGACATCCTGGTCTGCGGAGGAAGCTCTGAGCTCCGGAGGAGTTCTCACCTTCGTCTCCCTGGAAGCTCCTAGGGAGACTAGGGAACTCTACTCCTACTCAGAGTAAAGCTCGCCTTCTCTCCTTCTCCCGGAGAGAAAGCTCAAGCCGCCAAACAGCTGATAGACGCTGTTTCGGCAGCTTTAACGCAGTCCCGGATGGGAGGCTGTCAAAAAGCCTCCATCGGCCGTCGCCAAGCCACGGGAAGTCTTCTAAGATACACTTATTGTTTATTCCAATAAATCCAGGATCAGCTGGATGAAATTAGGCTCCATGGGGGAATCCCCCTCCCCACAACTGTCAGCAGCCCCTCCCTGTCTTGGAATACTATTTCTCTCTTCCATTGGCATTACTTCTCTCTGCTTTCCTTTGAGAGGCAGAATCAGTTTTCCACATCAACCAGTGAGAAATCGCAAAAGCCCTGAGCCCCTTTTTGCTTTGATTTTGGCTCTTCTCTTCTTGAAATTGGGGTTGTGTCCCTTGGAAAGAGGCCTGGAGCTGCCTCAGATTCAAGGGAGCAGAAGGGGACCCAAAAAGAAGGGAGAAACCTCTGTGTTGTTGTTGTCTTGAAAGGGAACTTAAAAGAGCAGCTCCACTTTCCCTTCCTTGAAAGAAACAATCCAAGATCACTCAGAGTTCAAAGCAGCCAGAGAGGAATTTCCTTGGACCCCCAATTTCTTGCTGGAGTTTTTCAGGCTGAGTCCCTGGGAAGGACTCAGAATCAGCAGTCCTTGTGGTTGAGCATTTTCCAGATCTGGAGCATTTCCTAAAACTCTTGGAGACGCTGCAGGTGTGGAGTGGGAAGTAGTGGGAGACATTCCTGCCCCTCCAAGTTTCCCATCCACCTTCCAGGCTCTGGAGGGGCTCAGAGTTAATTCCGGGGGTGACGTTTCTGCAGAGCCCCCAGAGGTGACCATGAGCAGCAAGATGGAGGTGGAGGATGGGATGGAGACGCACGTCTGCCGCCTGGATGGCTTCTACCCCAGGGAGATCAATGCCGTCTGGACGAGGGACGGGGAGGTCTGGCTGCAGGACACCTTCCGTGGCTCCGTGGCCCCCAACGCGGATGGGACCTTCCACGCCTGGCTCAGCATCCCGATCGATCCCCAAGAGAGGGGCCGCTATCGGTGCCACGTGGAGCATGACGGCCTGCAAGAGCCTCTGGACATGGCTCTGAAGGGTGAGAAGCTGCAGGGAGGGAAAGGCTGGGCTCTTTGGCAGGCTGGAGAGTTGTGGGAGAGGAATCCCACAACCTGAACTTTAATCCACTGCTTTTTCCATTGTAGAAGTTGGTGGGCCTGCAGGGACCATACCATGGAACTGGCTTCAGGGGATGTAAAGGAAACTACAGAATCCCGTCACAAGAGCTGGCAGATCCTGATGAAATGCCCTTAGATAACTTAGCCTTTCTTCGTCCCCTGTTTCCTACCTGCAGCAGAGGAGTTATGCTGAGCACAGATACACTCTTGTTTAATTTTAGATTTGTTACAAAAATCAGGAGGTGTCTGGGAGCCCCCATTTTGAGTACCAAATTTTGTTAAGATTTGTGAACTGCAGCTAAATTCATGAAATGGGTAAAGTGGCAGGACTGACACATCGTTATTTAGACAAGGGGCTGGTGGTCTCATTTTTTTCCCATCAGAAACTACCACACCCTTCTCTCTTTACAGTGTGATGTCCTTCACTTGGGAAACAAAAATGGGTGGAGAATACCTGGCTTGCTAAAAAACATTTTGTAATGGCGGTTGATAGGAGACTGGATAGGAGTCAGAAGCATAAAGTGTATACACATGCATAGTGTATGTTTATATGTATAAAGTGTATAGATATACACATACACTATGTGTGGATATACATTATATTCACACATATATACATTATATCCACACATGCATGAGCACACAAATATGCACACTTAATATATACATATATATATATATGATAGTTAATTAGATAGATAGATAGATAGATAGATAGATAGATAGATAGATAGATATAGACAGACAGACAGAGATAGATAGATAAATATGTGTTTCTGTCTGTCTGTCTGTCTGTCTGTCTGTCTGTCTGTCTGTCTGTCTGTCTGTCTGTCTGTCTGTCTATCTATCTATCTATCTATCTATCTATCTATCTATCTATCTATCTATCTATCTATCTATCTATCTCAAATGGTGAAGGTAATTTTCTCCCTGTGTTCTGCCCTGATCCTCAAGGAGAACTTCCACTTCTGGACAAGCCCCATTAATACAGATTCATCGTAAGAAAAAGCTCCAATTTAGGTTGATCTGGGACTGGAAACTGAATCCTCTGGACATGAATAGAAGAAGGATTAGTCTGTTTAGTCTTCAGGAAAGAGTGATGTTGGAGGGTTGGATATATGATAGGCCTTTCCTGGAGTCTTCCTCCTAATCCTGGTTTGTGTGCCACAAGTGGATCCCTACATCTGGGTTCCTTTTCTGGTAAGTTAAAAGCTCCATATGTGAAGGCTGAAACAATTTCTATCCTGGCCAGATGACTGAGAGTGTTTGAAAGAAGGATTAGTTCCTTTCTTCTCCTCTAGGGGGACAGACCAATCCTACAAGAGATAAAGAAAATGAAACTATATACTTAAAAAACAGAGAGGCGATATCAATCCTTTCATTTTTAAATCATAAGGTGCCAACATTCAAGTTTAAATAGAATGTTAAGAATGCAGTATTGCAAGGTGACTCATTGTTCATTTCAGGAGTTCGATCCTGACTGGCTTAGGGTTGACTCAGCCTTCCATCCATCCGAGGTCGGTAAAATGAGGACCCAGATTGTTGGGGGCAAGAGGCTGACTCTGTAAATCCCTTAGAGAGTTGCTTTCTAGGCTGGTGGTTTAGCATCTAGATCAGGGGTCTTCACACTCGGCCCTTTTATGACTTGTGGACTTCAACTCCCAGAATTCCTCAGCCAGCATGCCTGGCTGAAGAATTCTGGGAGATGAAGTCCACAAGTCATAAAAGGGCCAAGTTTGAAGACCCCTGATCTAGATCAAACTGGCTTGTACAGCTTGTAATAGTTTTGTAACAGAGCTTGTAGCAGCTACGTTGTTATTTCTGAGGACCTTTAGTAGGCTTATGCTGATTAACAGGTTTTAGAGATGGGTTCATGGAGAATGGGGGGAGAAATAGAGTGAAGAGTTGCTGGCTTTACTTTAAGGGAGAGTGATAAATTGTTAATCTTCATCATACTTGCTTGGATTGAAAGCGGGGGTTTTCTGTCTATTTTTCTTTGTATAAGTTTTACAATAGACAGTATGTATAATGTGTAATAGAATCTTCAACCTTTTTTTAAAGTGTGCACTCTGAGATTTCTGCCATTAATACACTTTAATTAAAAACAATTAAAAATTGCAGTTATTGCATTTTTTTAAAAAATGCACTTATATTTGATCCTCCAAAGTTTGGCAAATAATCGATATGCTGAGCGCAGCATTCAAACACTGCATTTTTCCAGATTGCCATTTATGGGTTTTCACGGTTTAGAAAAAACGAAACACGGGATCAATTGCACAGCCGGGCTCCTTTCCCCCTCACCATTGCACACATACTGTGAGAATTCCAACATTGTTTGCTGAAAATAAAGGGTTTTGTTTTCTTCTCACTTCAGTTGCTGCCTGTTATTGGAAGTTGGAAATAGCAAGGATTTTACGCTCCTTGTTGATCAGAAACCCCGATTTCACTTTGAGAGGAAGGGGAGGAACCAAGGCAAAACCTGGAAGGAGCAAGAACTGGGGGTGGGGCTCCTGTGTGTTCATTTTGGGAAGAGGCAGCCATTTTGCTCCTGGGTCCAGATCTTTCTCCAGCATCTCCAGCTGATCTTCCGCAAAATGGCCGCTTGGTCTTGGCTTGGTGGGGGCAGCAACAGAGGCGGCTTTTCCCTCAGATCCACCTTTGCCTCAGGCTGAGGGCCGAGTGGCTGGTCTCTGGGCCTCATCCAGGGGCCCTTTGGGAGACAGGAGCTCAGGGACTGGCCGGAGCCCTCCTGGTCCCCTTGCAGGAGGGCAGCTTCTCCTGCCTCTGAGAGGTCCTCTCTGGGCTCTTCAGGGGCCCAGTAGGATGCCCTGGCCCAAGAGAGCCTCGATTGATGGGAAAGAGGTCCCCCATATTATAGGGGATGCTTTCTGGGCAAGGAGGAGTGAAAAGGCTGGGGGTCTTTCACCCCAATTCCTTTTAAGCTTCCCTGATGCCCTCAAGAGCTGCCATCTTTGAGAGCCTAAAAAGTCTACAGTTTAAAGCAGGCGTGTCCCACTTGCAACGCGAGAGTCACATGCAGCCTTGGACAATGCAACCCCACAAAATTTTTAATACAATAAGCAATATCAAAATAAAAGAAGTGTATATTAACTCTATAGCAGTGGTGGCGAACCTATGGCACGGGTGCCAGAGGCGGCACTCAGAGCCCTCTCTGTGGGCACGCGCGCCGTCACCCCAGTCCTAGGCCTTCAGCTGGGTTTTATAAAACCTTTTCGCTTTAGGCCTCCGCCGCCGTGTACAAAAAAAAAAGGTTCAATCAATCAGCCAATTTCAACTTCTCGCGGAAAAAAAAAGATCTTGCAAAGTTGGAATTGATTGATTGAACTTTTTAGTCCCACCCAGTCTGCCGTTACCACCGCAGCCATGCCCACCCAATGGGCCACACCCATCCAATGGGCCACCCACCCGGCACCTGACGATGCGTAAGTGGGTTTTGGATTGCAGTTTGGGCACTCGGTCTCTAAAAGGTTCGCCATCACTGCTCTATAGTATATAATTTATATGCAGCCCAAGAATTCCTTTTTATTCAGTGCGGTCCAGGGAAGCCGAAAGGTTGGAGACGGCTGCTTTAAAGCATTTTGTGAGAATTCCGTCAATATTTGAGCGTCTTCTACCGATTCAGAAGTTTTAGAAATGTGCTTATTTATTAGAGACCTCTGACTGGCCAGCTTTGACTTGAAAATGCCACAAGAGCCTTTGAGCACTTTCATCCAGAGCAAAAACCACTCTGAGTTTCTGACCTGCAACATTGAATCATACCTAGGGCTGGGAGGGACTTCAGAGGTCTTCTAGTCCAACCTCCGGCTCAAGCCAGGAGAGCTTATACCAGGGGTAGGCAACCTTGGCTCTTTTATGACTCGTGGACTTCAACTCCAGAATGCCTGAGCCAGCCATGTTGAGGGGAAAGGGAGAGGTTTCCATGCTGAGCCATGCTGGCTCAGGAATTCTGGGAGTTGAAGTCCACGAGTCATAAAAGAGCCAAGGTTGCCTACCCCTGGGCCTTATACCATCCTGGGAAAATGGTTGTGCAGTCCATTTTTGAAAACCTCCAGTGATGGAGCACCCACAACTCCATGAGGCAAACTGAGTAATTGTTCTCACTGTCAGAAATGTTCTCCTTACTTCTAGGCTGGGTCTCTCTTAAACAAGCTTCCATCCCTTGTTTCTTGTCCTGCCCTCTGGGGCTTTGGAAAAGAAGTCAATCCCCTCTTATCTGTGACAGCCCCTCAAGTAATGACAGACAGTTATCATGTCCCCCCAAATCTTTCTCTTTGCTAAATTAGACTCCTTTAACCGTTCATCATATGATTTAGCCTCCAGACCAGGGGTCTCCAACGTTGGCAACTTTAAGACTTGTGGACTTCAACTCCCAGAATTCCTCAGCTTTGCTGGCTGAGGAATTCTGGGAGTTGAAGTCCACAAGTCTTAAAGTTGCCAACGTTGAGGACCCCTGCTCCAGACTCTTTATCATCTTTTTTGGATCTCTCTTTAACAAGCTTCCATCCATTACTTCTTGTCTTGCTGTCTGGTATTTTGGATAATAAGTCAACCTCCTCTGTGACAGCCCCTCAAGTAACGCCAGAAGATATCGTGTCCCCGCCCCCCTCCGCCATCCTTCTCTCCCTTTGTGCCTGGACGTCTGCCCAGCAACTATGACGACATGGGAATACTGTTTTTTTTCTATTGGTTGACCTCGCCCAATCGCCTGCGTGCTGTCGATTGTTGCGCTTGTTCATCAACGGGAGGCGCCTCTTTTCTTTGGCCGCGACTTCCGGGAAGCGGGGCGCAGGTGGAGGATCGCGGCCGGGATGGCTCTGCGCCCTGCGCCCCTCTTGATCCTGGTGTTGGTGGTGGCCGCCCTGCAGGAGAGCTGCTTCGGTGAGTCCCTTTGGGGGCCGGGGGTGGGTGGGTTTTCAGGCTCTTTTTATCTGCCAGGGAAACTTTCTCTCTCTCCCCCCCCCCCCCCAAAAAAAAAGTTTATTCCCAGAAAGAGAATCCTGATTCGGTCCTCTGTGGGAAGTCAGCCCTCCAGAGAAGGAAATATTAAAAGGGCAGAAAAATATATTTCCTGTAAGGTTTTTCCACTTAGCCTCACAACTGCCCCAGCATTACTCAGGAATTTAAAAGAGCCAAAGAAACTCCTGAGTCGAGGTTTCAGCAAGCAAACAACTTTTATTTTGATCAAAATAGAGTTGGATGACCCCCATCTGTAGAGAGATGAAGGCAACAACCAGAAAAGATGTCTTCCACCTTTTATACCTTTCCAGAACAAAAAGATCAGGTCTTGGTACTAGGCATAAGATGGCACAAAAAAATAATTCCTAGATGATGACTCATACACAGCAACCCAGGCTCCATCCGTAACTCCTTTTCCCCACTCCCCTTACTGTGCTCTTTTCATATAAGCAATCACCTATACCTAAAGCATGAAGCCCTTACTTTTCCAATATATATATATAAAGCATCTGATCAAGCAATTAACTACAAAATAATGATTACAAAATAACAAAACAATGATTACATGATAACACTATAAGTATCAATATAAAATGGTTACTATATGTAACATAAATGCTAACGTCAAACTTAAACATACTAAAATCATAAGCACAATAAAATCCCTTCATTCCTCCAAGGATATTAAAGAGACAGAAAAGCATGCCCAGTTTTTTTTAATAGCCCCAAGTTTGCCTCCCCCAAGCAGATGTACAAATGCAGATGTAAACCACCAGGAAAGTTGGAGCTAGAAGCTTAGGAAGACAAAGACACCTAACATCTGCATACCCCACCCAAACTCTAAAAGTCATTAGCCCCAGCACCAGGGAAGCAGGATATGACCTTTGGTCATAATAGGACTAACCCATCACCATCAGAATACCAGAAAGGCACACCCAGACTCAGGTGAGAATACGTGACACAGGAAATACAAAGCCTCAACACAGGAACAGGAAGCAACTTCAAACAAAAGGCTTCAGAGGATATAGAAACCTACTCCCCGCATGTGCTCAGCCCTTTTTTCTCTCCTCTTTCCTGCCAGAACCATCTTTCGGTTTGGCTCTTCAATAAACTGCAACCTTCTTTCTAAAGCTGTTGCCATGTTGTTTATTTATCCCCGGTTTGGATGAACCAGGATGAAGACTTTTCCTTCAACACCTCTTTCTAGTCTGCTCCCTTTGGCCACTTTGACATCAGGCCCCAAAGCTGCTGCTGTGTCCCTCCCACCCCAGGAGAACAGGACAAGGGTCGCCCCTCCAGATGTCAATCAAGTCTATCTGGGCACCCCCAAAGTGAAAATTGGCCTAGTTTATGTCTTGTGAATTGAGCTTGTCCTTTAAGGAAGGGCTGAAAAATGTTTGATGCTTCAGGATCAGGAGTTTGCAGGATAGAAATGGAAATAATGTTCTGTGTTTATCTTTGATTTAAAGACGGCTTTAAAGGTAACAAGAGGCTGGCTTTAGGGAGAGGACCCCAGCTGAGTCCACCCAACCAACCAACATGGATGATCTCAGCAGGAACTCCCAAGCAGCCTCAGTGGGGGGAGGGAGTGGGGTCAGGGGGGAGAGGCCCCATGGGTTTCTGGGGGGAGGGGGAAGAGGAATTCTGGGAGTTGAAGTCCAGACTGAAGTCCAAGCAGCTGAGTCTGAGAAACATTGAGTTAAGCCAGGGGTAGGCAACCTTGGCTCTTTTATGACTCGTGGACTTCAACTCCCAGAATTCCTGAGTCAGCCATGCTAGCTGAGGAATTCTGGGAGTTGAAGTCCACAAATCATAAAAGAGCCAAGGTTGCCTACCCCTGAGTTAAGCTTTTGCATTGAGAGTCGTTGACCATGTAAACTTGAGTAGGATAGCCCAGATCATCCCCCCCAAGCTGGCTGGGGGACATTTCTGCCTGCCTTTATGCTGACAAAGTGCAGGATCCGCACCAGAGGAAGACAAGTTTCTGAGCATCTTCTATGAAAAGTGAAGAAAATATTTGAGATGCAGAGTAAATCTGGTCCACTAGAAGCACTTGGGAATGGTGGTTTTGGTGCCCTAATTGGGCTGCTGAAATGAGATTTCTGTAGAATGGGGGTGAGCGCCATGGAGTCCGGGGTTCAAAGTCAATTCCTGCTCAGATACCTGAACTCTGGGATAGGAGGGGTAATTTCCCAGCTGGGAGGGGTGAGGAAAAAGATCCAGGGGGGCCATGTAGCTTCACTGCTGTTCCCTTCGCTCCCCCTTTGACTGCCCTCCTAGCCAATCAGTTTGAGTCTCCCCCAAGGATCCCATGGCCTCTGTTCCCTCCTGGATCCCTCTTTCCTGCCCTGTGTTATAAAATCTCCCCTCAAATCTTTACTTATTAATAATGTTGACCCCCAGTGGGGTGAGAATTATTTGAAAGTTGGGGTGACCGGTTGGGGTTTCCTGCTGCTTTTGAGATTCTGGGGTTGGGGCTCCCTTCCTCCCTCTGGGGTGTCTGCAGCTTCCTTGGGGCAGAGACTGAACAATCCAGGAGAGCCTTGCTGGAAGTAGGGAGGGAGCATTTGGGGGGGGCTCAAGTAGGGTTTGAGGAACCTGCTCTTTCTTTGACCTTGCTATCCCCTTCTCTCTGCCCTCCAATCCTTCGGCCGCCCCAGAAACTGTTTCTTTGCCTCTCAGTTCCTTCCTCTTTCCACTCCTCTTCCTCTCCCATCAGTTCGCCCTTCTTTTCTCTCTCCTTTCTCTGCCCCCAGTTCTCTTTTCCTTCATAGACCCTCAAATTGCTGCCTTTCTGTGTCCCATAGTATTAGGGTTCCTCAGCTAAAGCCCCTAACTTTGCCAATCTGGGTCCCTTCCAGGCGCCTCCTTGCACTCCATGAAGTATTTCTACACCTCCATCTCGGACCCCAGTCAGGGGCTGCCCCAGTATGTCGCTGTGGGGTGCATGGATGGTCAGGTCTTTGCTCACTACGACAGCAACAGCCGGAGGATGGAGCCTCGAGTCTCCTGGATGGAGAAGGTGGGGAAGGAGGACCCCCAATACTGGGACAGAGAGACCCAGATTCAACGTGACAATGAGGAGCCGTTCAGAGCAAACCTGGAGATTGCGAGGACTCGCTACAATCAGAGCGAAGGTGAGTGATGGGTCGGGTGTCTCCTCCTGCCCCATGTTCCCCTCCCCAGGAACCAGAGGAGGGGGAAAACCAGGGGAAAGGCTGCGTCCACATATTATAAAAATGTAAAAAAGATGTTGAGACTCTAGAAAGAGTACAGAGAAGAGCAACAAAGGTGATTAGGGGACTGGAGGCTAAAACATATAAGGAACGGTTGCTCGAATTGGGTATGTCTAGTTTAACGAAGAGAAGGACGAGGGGGGACATGATAGCAGCCTTCCAGTATCTCAGGGGCTGCCACAAAGAAGAGGGAGTCAAGCTATTTTCCAAAGTGCCTGAAGGCAGGACAAGAAGCGACGGATGGAAACTAACCAAGGAGAGAAGCAACCTGGAACTAAGGAGAAACTTCCTGACAGTTAGAACAATTAACCAATGGAACAACCTGCTTCCAGAAGCGGTGAATGCTCCAACACTGGAAGTTTTTAAGAAGAGATTGGACAGCCATTTGTCCGAAATGGTATAGGGTTTCCTGCCTGAGCAGGGGGTTGGACTAGATGACCTCCAAGGTCCCTTCCAACTTTACTACTACTACTACTACTACTACTACTACTACTACTACTACTACTATTATTATTATTATTATTATTATTATTATTATTATTATTATTATTATTATTATGTCTTTTGAATATGTTTATTCTTTTTTATATTAATATAAGTGTCCTTGCCGCCGTAACTGAACTATTCGGCAGACTGCAGAAAACATTTGACAGTTCTCTGTCTGTATATTGATATGGATAGTGATATAAAATAAAGAATAGACCACAATCTTGTGCCCCCCCCACCATGAAAGTTGGAGAACTTGACCTTGGTAGACATCCTGCTTTGAGGAAAGAAGGGAATTACAGATCTCCTTCCCCACCCCCACTCCCCCCCACAAAAAAGCAGGTGGATCCTAAGAAAATTCTGGTGGAAACATGTCCTCCTATTTCTATTTTCAGCCCAGAGAAATGGGGGGATCAAGTGCAGATCCACCCCGGGAGACTAAATCTCTTTCTGGCACTCCCTTTGTGGAGGGTTGAGTGTGGTCCAAATGCCTGGAAGCTTCTTCTCATCCTCCTGTTGGAGGGAGAAACTGGAAGGCCAAGCGGGGTAGGGACTCTTGAATGGGGATGGGTGGGGGGGTGGGGAGGCACAAGGCCACTTCCAGGATCTTTCCTGTCTTGAGGGAAAAGGACAGGAAAGAAAGAAACCCACATTTGGGGCCCTTCATGAGTCGCTCAGAGGCATCGTGGCTTCCCATTCAGGCTGAACTCCTGCACTGCCCTCTTGCTGGGGCTGCCCTGGAGGAAGGGAGACCTTCTTCTGCAGCCCCCTCCCCCCCTTCTGCCATCTTTGGGGGACAAGATTCACCTTCAAGGAACCTTATTTAGGGAGGGGCGGCAAGCAAATGTGTGTGTTAGATCGCGCAGGCAGTAAGACACGAGTCGAGTGACAGTCAGCTCTCGGTTTATTGGCAAGGCATCAAGTAAATCCGGACTGGCTCTCTGGGCCAGGGGAGCCCTCTTTTATGGGATTCCCCTGGCTTGTAATCACACAATTCCATTGGCTGGCAAGACCCTGTTGCTAGTTAGCCAACCAGCAACGGGCATGAAACTGTATGCAGATGGAGAAGGGCAATCACCCTTAATGGGCGATCAATGGTGAAGGGCAATCACCCTTAATGGGCGATCAATGGTGAAAGGCAATCACCCTTAATGGGTGATCAGGATATGCATAGGGGATTAAGGGGGGGGAATACAAAGAACACAACAGTGTGTGTAATGATAGGCTGCTTTTGGCTGAGGTAAACCTTCTCCACAAACATCAGCCATTTTCCCTCCTTTCATCCCAAGGAGGTGCAGCCCCCCTTCTTCTGCCCTTTCCTTGCCCATCCCCCCCCCCAGGCAGGCACCCCAGAGATCTTCCTGTTCTGCCCCTGATCCCCAAGGATCCCCCCAGATCCCTCCAGGCCCCCTGCTGGCCTCTCAGGGGAGCAGAGCTGGACCCAGAGGGCTCCCCCTGGTGGAGAAAGGAGGAAGGAGGCCGGCCAGAGTGGAGGGGAGCCTCCTTTCCAGGCCAAACAGCCCCAAATGTCCCAACCTTTCCTCCAAGGGAGGCTGCTTCCACCCTCCCATCCTCTGGGTCGCCTCCTCTGGACCTTCCCCAGCTCCCTCCCGTCCTTTTTTGAGGTCTGGTGACCAGAACTGGCGGATGATATTCCAGATGTGGTGGCAGCCTTGATTTATGTAAAGGCTTTTATGACATTAGCCTTTGTGTTTTCAATACCATTTTAATGACCGCGGACAATCTGTTGGCCTTTTTAATTTTCCATATAATTTTTATTAAATCTTTTCAATGAGAAGCTTAAAAACAAATAGGAAGTAATGTAAACTAGAGGAGACCAAAGAAAGAAACCAAAGAACAAGAAAGTACAAGAAAAAAACGAGTTGAAGGAAATCACCTTTTAATTTTTTTATATAGTTTGTATTGAACCTTTTCAGCAAAAGATAAAAATAATAATAGAAAGTAACATAAAAGAGATAAAAGAAAAATAAAATAAAAAAGAAATTAAAAAGTACAAGAAAAGAAAACAAGTTGAAAAAAAAATAAAGAAAAAAGACATAAAGAAGTGGCTTCTGATATGGTGTGCGCATGTGCGTGATGGCAGACCTACTGTTTTCGGCTCCGTAGTCTCCGCGGGGTCCTCAGCGGAGATGGGGGAGCCTTGAAAGGTCCGGGGGTGCTCGCCGGCCGGAGTTGGAAGGAGGAGAGGGTCGGCGAGCGAAGAGGACGTGTCGGACCGCGGGACCACCTGGGCGGAGCCGTGAGCCGTGAGTGGAGAACGGAGCGGCCGAGCGGAGAGGCCTGGCGGAGAAGTTGGAGAGGCCGGGCGAATAGAGCGGAGCCGGGCGGCCTGGCGGAGAAGTCGGAGAGGCCGGGCGAGTAGAGCGGAGCCGGGCGGCCGGGGAAGCCGGCGGCCGGTCGT